CCTGCAGCTCCAAAGACCTTGACTTGGAGCAAGACCTCAACGTTAAGGCACCCAAAGCGCGTTTTCCGGACACAAAATCAACATGACCGGCACACGGAGCTCTATCTTCAACCCTGGCGACCGTGTAGTGGCACTGGAGAGAAGCGGATAGTGGGATCGCGTTTGCAAAGGGAGGGGGCGGCGAGGTCATGGAAGCTGATGTGGAGTAAGACTGGTGGCGCTCAATGGTATGAGAAGGTTGTCATTACGTCTGAGGAATACAGATATCAGCGCTGTCGATACATGAAATACCGAGGCTCACCAACCAGCAGGAGGCGACATGGAGCTTCATGAGATAACGGGAGAATTCTCGTACCAAAGACAGGCGTATTGAAACAGTAGACTGCGCTGCATGTCAGAAACAAGATGAATATCAAGTCAGTTTATCGAATGCGCGTTATTTCCGCGGCATAAACATCTTGTGTGAAGCTAGCTACTGGTAATGGCACGTTGAGTTGCGGGCGTTAGTCGACCTGGGTGGCTCTCCCGTCGCGGCGGTAATTCAGTAGCCTGCGGCATGAAGTCTGCTCTTGTTACTTCCCCAGCACATCTTACCTGTCGAGGCTTGTTCTTTATTTTCCTGTGCCTCAGCTCTGACGTGGTTTCAGGGGCCCAAAAAGAGTTTATCCCCGAGGCCCAGTACGATCATGTCTGTGGTCGTGGCCTATCCCATTGGTACTAACTGCTTTCCCCTTTCGCTCATCGACCTGTGGTCTAAAGGGGCTAAACAGCAGCAAAAGCCAATGGCTGGAGGCGGGTCTTGTCCTGTAGATGGCTCTTCAGCAAGTTTGCTTGCGCGGCCTGGGGGTAGTACCACAGGATATACATGCTTTTCAGATCAGGGTGTGGGATGGCTTAAGTGAGAGATTATTGCAGGACAGTGAGGCTTACGTTCTGGCCCGATCGGGCGGTGATGGACATTTCTTGACAATCATTGGGCGCAGACCCTCTGATGTGAAGTATGATAGATCATTCGGTATGTGACAACGTGACCTGCAACGTAATCTCAAAGACCGTGGTTTGGCATAGTGTCTTGCCCCAGAGCTAAAACCTACCACAGTATCCAGCTTGAATAGTCACTAAGCGTTCCGCTGCTCAATGTCAAATCGGTGCTCCGAAGCTCTACTCGATCGTATCCCTCTTTTCCAATGCCGCTGACTGCTTGGCAAGGGAGGGATCAAGCCCATCATCATGAGCTCTTTTGATTCGTATGAATGTGGCAACCGTCGAAGATGGCGTATTGTGGCCCTCATGTGTCTCTAGGACGGCTAAAATCCCGATTGAGCAGACTCTCTGGTGTAATCCCCTTTCCAGGTCCGTAAAAAGAGCTTTGGAGGGTACGCTGGAGTTCCGTATCTCGATTAATCTTCTTCGGAGTCTGTTATAATCAAGGATCATATTTGAGATCTTGAAGCTCTGAGTTGGGTAGATCACAGTCAGCAAATCGTCTATCAACGAAGAAAAAGGGCTTTGGGGCAGACACAGAAGGTTAAGGTTCATTGGGCATCCCACGACCATGCCCTGAATCGTCGGCCCGAACGGATACTAATCGTCACCTTTGATTTCAATGTCCTGCGGATGCCTCAATGATCAGAACTTTCGTGATACCTTTGGTGTTGCCAAGTTGTTTCGGAGAGTCACCGACGACTGTGCCATGAAGGCTGTGCCATTAAAGGGCATACCTCGTCAAAGTCAGGCTCAAGGAAAACAAAGTCCATTGTCCCGATTTCTCGAAAGACCATTGTTGAGAGTACATTGAGGCCAGGGACATGCTTGATGAAAAGATTCGAACGTCAAGGACATACGGTTCTCAGACCTTGAGTCACTAGCGGATATGTTTCTCCCAGCAATAGCGGACATGAGGCAACTACTGGCCATGCAAGTCGATTGGGACTATTATATTCAACCTGTGCTCAATCTACTTAGGCACATGACCCATGGTGCATTGGCAACGGACCTTCAGCCTTGCGGACGCAAGATTAGTAGTTCAGTCAGGCTATATTGGGCAGCTCTCTTGCGTCACCATCCTGGCCTAACAAGCCACATCGACAATCTGCAACGTGGCGAGCTCTTTGTATCCGTATGCTGCGACGTGGCGAGCATTAATTCAGCTGCACGATGCTTCGGAAGTGCTATCGACGAAAAGCCCGGTTCTTCGTCGTTTATTCGGTCATTGGAGGCTTTAGTTCCCTTGTGGCTGTCGTGCTCTACGTCGGATTTGTGCCCACCCTCAAAGCCCAGCACAGTAGCCTGGTAAGTCATCTTTAGCACATTGTCTCTGGATCATTCATAGGCTGATGGGAGTTGTATTTCGAGTCAGGCCCTCCACGCCAGAATTCTCGGGCGTCCGTCGAGAATGGGTCTGAGCTCTCCGAAGGCCCAAGTATGACACCAGAGTCGTAAGTCGAAACGAGAGTGAGCATGAAGCGAAGTTTGTAGTCAAGTTATGAAATGGATATCTAGCCGGCCCATATCATCAATGTCAGCATCTATACACCCCGCCCTCTGGATAAGCCCCCTTATCCCCTGCCCTGCGGCGAACACGACCGTCCTTTGCCGCATCAAAGCATCTGCACCAATTATTGTCTTCTCAGTCCTCAAATCCCATCCATAGAAGGCATACCTGTCGGTAGTCCGACCTCTATCTCGTTCATAATGGTCTCATCTGTAGCAATGCTCGTCATGACTTCTTCGGAACTGTACCCAGTCCAGTATCCAGGGTTGATCTGCGAGGCCTTCTTCGCGCGGTAAATCTCCTGCGCCACGCCCTTGACCTGCCCTGAGGCTGTGTCAGCTGCTCTCCAAACACCGGAAAGCTCGCTGAGCGCACCAATATTGAGCCGCAACTGCTGACGCAGCTCGTCGTCGTCATGAGGGATGTAAATGAGGGCCCATCGGCTGAGATGGACGATGGACGAAAGTGTGATAACGCAGGTGAAGAAGTGAGTGTGCGATATCAGTGGGACACGGTGTGTAATCATCTTGCTGATTTCGGCGGCTGAGGTTACAGTATGGTTCGTGTGGGCATTGAAATAATCTCCCGACGGCACCGGGCGATGAGGCGCACAAGACGTAACGGAACGGGTCGGAGACGAGTCGAGCTGGGAGAGCGGCTGGTGCAGCATGATAGAGGTTCTGACAATATAAATGATCAGCAACAACTCTGCAAGTTCTGACGAGCGACTACTTACGCATGTGTCATCATGCTAGCCTGGAAGATCATCTCATCAGACTGCACTTTTGGCTGAGCGCATCGCGCTTGGCAGGCGGTAGGTGCATCCTCCAATTTGTCAACAACGCCTCTATACGGGCCAAATTTTCATCCTCTGGTCCAAAGATAGTCGGGACTCGCATGAATTTTCCTAGATTCGACCCGCGGCAATGCGGTAGGAGAATGAAGAAAATTCACGTGTCTCGCCCGAAAACTCGCGGTCTTCAAGGTCTTCGAGATACATGGGCTGCGGGATATTCTAAGAAGTCACTGTAAGCAACTCTGGCAGGATGAGCGAGATTGTGCTTTTTGAAACTCACGCCAGACAGGAACTGATGCTCCTCGCAAGGCAGGCCAACGTCTGCAGGAACGTCGAACAGCAGAAAATTCGTCTGTCGGTGTACGCCAGCCACCATGCCATCTACGACGTACAAATCCCACCACGTTCTCCGCCAGCTTTCCTCCAATATCGGTATTCCGCGCCCGTGCACGGTGGCGTATGCGCGGGTGTTGAGCTCAATCTCGAGGGCGATGCGCTCGGCATCAGCGAGCAGCTGCCGAGCCTTCTCCTGCTGGCAACTGCCGTCGGTGCCTACGATGAGGAGCGTAATTGCCTGGACAAGGAAACCATCCTTCTTCGTGGAAGGATCTTGCACGAGACGCATAGCTTCCTCGAAGAAGGCCGCGCGGGCTGGCCCAACATCGACAAAGAGGGATCCCACCCAGCGCATGGCAGCCAGGAGGGGCTCGATATCCGCATCTCCAAGAACGCGGAACAGCCATTCCTTTGGCAAGACGAAGGGGTGACCGGCATGAAAATGTCGATAAAAGGAGTCGAGGCAACGCTCGGCGGGGTTTTGGACAGGTCCATGCGTCGGGATTAAGTCGCCATGGTGGCTCAGGCTCAGCTGGTTCGATTGATAGCCATTGGGGTTACCGAAGGGCCGGTAGAGCTGCAGATTGTGGATATCGCTGAGATGCGGCGTGCCTGCATATGCCGCTTGAGGCGTGTTGGGCAATACCGGACCGCCAAGAGCGTAGGGAGCCATGGAGACCGGCATGGCAGCGGAGGTAGTTGCTCCCAGCAGCATGGGACAGCTGTCGCCAATGCTGACGGTGGACGTGGGTGGTGACGAGGATCGAGCTCGTTTGTTCGGGTTGGCGGCGGTGCCTCGTCGCGGTCCCTTGTAGCCGCGGCGGGACGCTACGTAGACGCATTCCGACTCGGACGCTCTGCAGCGACCGCAAGGGTTCTGCCCGTCGCACTTGAGGTGCTTGCTGCGCTGCAGTCATCAGGTCAGTCAGGGCGAGGACAGAGACGCAGCAGGGGGGCAGGCTGTCAAGACGCGGGGTTCTGGCGTAAACCGGAGTCGCAAGGCAAAAAGCACGGTGACATGACTCTGAGGAAGGGGCATCTGGCATACGCAACCTAGACATGCTGCCGGGGTGGTCGGCGGTTGAGTCGGGCGGGCTTCACTGGTCGCCGACGAGGTGGTGTTAGGTGAATCGCGGGAAGCAGGTGGTGTTGTGTCGGGCACCAAGATCGAGTGGTTCGGGGATCCATCGCTCGTGGATGTGGGATTCGAGAGTGGAACCTCGGGGTTCAGGACTGACATGGATTCCATCGTGAATGCACTCTTCGGGGATTGAAGATGATCTACCCTGTACTAGATTCGGCATTCGACCGTCACAGGGCTGGCAATCGTGGGGAGTGAGTCTCGTCGTCAAGAGAATCGCGACAGTTGCCGTAGGTGCGCGCAGAGGAGAGAGTGGTTGAGCTAGGAGGAAAGAAGTAAAAGAATTTGAGGTGTTCCCGTCAAAGTGGAACGAATATGTGACGTGCGACGTACACGCGTGCCCTGAACGTTTCGCTTTGTAGTACACACGTACGAAACGGTCGTACTTGGTGCAATGCAGGCGCCGGGTCAATAGATGGGGAGTGCGTTGCGGGAGGGGTTCGGTCGAGATTGGAGGACCTTGTCGTCAGAAGACGAGGACCGGAGATTTGCTCAAGGTCGTCTAGTTCGCTGGTTGGCTGAGAGAGGACCTTGAACAGCTCCCTTTTCCCATGCGAAAGAAACAACAGTTGGCAGAAGAGGCTAGCAAGAAAGTGATTACCGACGGAGGGCATAAGAAGTGCAAGCTGTCGAGACGATTGGAGGGCCAAGGCTTCAAGGAGGAATGGTGAGGAGTCGCCCTCGGTTGCGTGCGTTTTGGCGTAGCAGATTGATTGAAACCGAGTGCGAGTGGATTGGATCGGTGGCCAGGGTTGCACTGGGAATGTGATCCAGTGCATTACCTAGGTAGATATTGGCGTGGATTTGATGGCGGCTGCATCCGATGACAAGCTCACCTTGCCGTGTGGCTACCGCGGAGAAAAGATAATATCCGCCGTCTTCTCACTTGGCCTCCATTCCGCAAGGCATGACGTCCGAACACACAGTTGATGTACGATTTGAGGGTTAGCATGTTCGGGTAGATGTGGGATTCCGGCGGACCTTGGCCCAGGCCATGTTATGCCCAGATTCTCAGAGCTGTATCCCCCCTTGGATAGGTAGGGTATGGCCGGTTCCAGAACCGAACCAGAGCCTGATTTTAGCTTGCTCCTGCGAGACATTCATGGCGTGTTTTAGGGGCATCTCGCGTGGCGTGGCTGCCCCCAACACACGAAGCGGACAAGGACTATTTGTGATGGACGGCGTCTCCGGCGCTTGCCTCCGACCGTTTTGGGTGGACGTAACAAGAATCCTGGGATCTTGGCTTGACTCCTGTTGGATACTCCCCCCCCCCTTTTTCGTCCCCAGGTGCCGGGCTGCCATGTGGTCCGTCGTCGTGGATTTCAGCTGTCAAGCCCACAGGGCGCTGATCTAACGAATGTGTGTTACGTCTGTGCGATGGCGTATTGGTGTCCTCTTTGCTTGGTAGAACGACACTACGAACCAAGCTGGCATGATTTATGAGGGTTTAGGGCCCTCAATTGTTTTTGGAGGAAGACAATGCTTCCTCCTTCCCACTGGCCGGTCGAGGGACATCGGTTGGGAAGGTAGGTACAATAGGCATCTAGGTACCTACCCTAGCACAAAGGTAGGCTGGTACCTTCCCCGCCCGGGTAATGGAAGAGAAAGAAGCACCAACCGATGCTCATTACTCAGCGGTCCTCATTCCATCCACCGTCACTACCCCAGTCGAGCGCGCACCTCTTGTCATTCCCGCTTTGTCACCAAGCTTCATCCCTCAACGGTCCTGTGGTCGCTAACCTTGGGGTCAAATTTATCGATTACGGCGATCCGAACCGTCATTCATCATACCCAGTACTTGTGAACGCGATAATAGTATTTCCTATCAGACCGAGCGCCCATCTGGGCCATATGGCTTTGAATGCCACTCCCATTGCAATCACCTTCTGATACAGGCTAGGGCACTGCCCCTTCAACACAAATGCCGCGGAAACCGGCTTCCGGACATCCGTCAAAAGGGACAAGAATTAAACCTAAGGATAGATATACTGCATCACGCACGGGTCGCATGCTCCGTCAGGAAATTCCATAATAGTCGTCGTGGTGACTAGACCACCCTTCGGACTCTAGAATTCCACGTCGAGGCGAGGCCTGGTACTAAAAGCACTCATCTGGCGGCAGGTCAAGGTTCATCCTGAGTTAGAACCGGCAACTAACAACATCCCACCCACTACCAGATATATGTCAGCCAAATTTACTTCACTGGAGGTTGCGCAGAAACTCACCTGACTTTCGAGCCGAACAGACGAGACCAATGCCTTTGTGTTTTGGTAGACGATGGCTGATCTTGGGCAAGTACGGTCTGGCTTAGCAATGCCACGGAGTTTTCTCTTTATCAGATTCATAGCCGTGGGTGCCCGAAGGACCGGCTTCTGACTCTCCGAGGCGAGGAGTCTCGCGTCGTGGAGCACGAGAGCCGCGCTGGACGGAGGGCTCAGGCGAGGGAGCATAGAGTGTCTTGCCCCAGGAGACGCGGCGGGCTCCCTTGTTGGGCGTCGTCTTGGCTTTTGCCTTCCCCTTGATGTCGACCTCGAGCCTGAGTTCAGATCCAGTGGTCAACTTGCCGGCGCTGCTTTTGGCACCAACGGGCTTGCTTTTGCCTCTTTGCTCGAGGTCGGTGTCGGCGAGGAAGGTGCGAAGCGAGATGATGTCGGCGTCGGAAGATCCCAACATCACTGGCATGTCAATGAGCTCCGTAACGTCGCCCACATCACCAAAGCCATCGTCCTCGTCCGGTTCGTCTGCCGTGTTTGCCTGCCGGCCTCCGGTGGCGGGCGAGGGCGGCAGGGCAATCACGGAGGCAGTGCGACTTTTCTTCCGAGAAATGAGAGCGGTGATCTCGGCCCGATGCTGCTTAATGTTTTTGTACAAAAGAACAATCATCAGGGACGTGATGACGAGTGAGATAGTGATCGGGCCGATGAGCTTGGTGTTGACGCCGTGAATGACGTACTGGACCTTAGTTGAGTTGCTGTGGCTGCCTATGGGTGTGCCGCCAACACTGCCCAAGACGAACAGGAAGGCCATGATGTTGGGAATGATATGAGAATACATCTTGTCGTCGTCGACAGTGCGTGTTCAAACCTCTCTTTGGCTTCGTGAGCTTGGATACTGGATCTAGTCGGATGGAGCTGTAATTTCTGTCGCTATCTCATTTCTGTGAGGTTGCTCCTTTCATGATCTTTGACGAGAGTCAGGTTCGTGGGCTGCCCCTACAAAGAAATTTGGGAAAGCTGCCTGCGAGCGTAAGAAGAGAGACGAATGGACTTGGAAGGTAGATGTAGATTCAGTAGCAAGACTTTTGTTTTCTGGGGCGTGGGGCCGACGACTCAGCGAATACATGTTACGAGAAACCAGACGTGATCGTGAAAACCCCTTGGTGTTGAGCGGGCAACCTGCTATGGCCGCGACCCCTCCTCCGCCTTTCGTCATTCCACTAGAGAAAGGACTGGATACATGCTATCTGGCGAGAGGTGTCATTCAAGTAGAGGCACTTTTGCTCTGGCGCTTTCTTTCACTCAGGTATCAGACACGGTGAGGCTTGCCACAAGCATTCAGTCATGAACTTGTTCACCAGCATTCAGAAGTTCCATGCACGAGGTCATTTTGCACTCCATCTGATTATCTAAAACATTACAAGGCCGTGACTGAAGATCCCCATGTCCCATAACCCAACACCCAAACTAATTGCCGACTGTGCGCCTAAGAGACCTTGCCCGTCTTTATACAACCCATACTCGTACATCAAAACCATTGACAAAATAAAAAGGCCAACGAGGGCCTGGTCCTTTGAAAACCATGTTCGTACACCAAATCTACATCCGATCTTCATATCCTGGAGCTTGGTCCTCTGCCATAGCCCGTTTTTTGGCTTTTCCAATCCCACTTCGCCTTGCCATCGTACTTCGTGAACTTGTTGCCCAGAGCGTCAGCCACAGTCAATGGTTCTTCTCTAGGAACCAAAATTGGATGAGAGCGATATGGCAGCACATCCCTGGCAGACTTCTTCGGCGCCTTGGTGGCGGCGGGCAGCGTCTTGCGCTGCTCCTTGAGAACTTCCCTGAGCTCGTTTTCGTCGCTGGTGATTTGTGCCTTTAGGAAGGAGAGATCTTTCGACGCTGGGTCTTCTAGTGTCTCCATAACGGGTACTCTCGGTGTGTAGATGATGTCGTCGAGCTTTGGTGCCAACGCTGGGTCTGGGACGATGGAGGGGTCAAGACGCGCCTCGTCGCCCTTATCAAGGAGGGCATTGATGTCGAGGCTCTCTCCGTGCGGAATGGCTGTGGCGTGGCTCGGCGTGATGCAGTCCATGTCAACCTCTTTTCGAAGACGTGATCAATGTCATGGCA